AACTGATTGCTAAAACATTCTCTAAGAGATAAGGATTGCTCACTTAAAACGTTTAGCGCTAAACTGAATAGATGTAAAATAATGACACGGGAAAACTCACACAATTAATATAATAATTAATTGAAACAATTTAATATATATATATATATATATATATATATATATATATATATATATATATATATATATATATATATATATATATATATATATATATATATATATATAAATGTCAAACAAATATAAAAGTTCTCTTTCCAAAAATTATAAATACGAAGCATAACATATTATCAGAAGTGGACAGAAAAATTTCAACAAAAAGTTAAAAAATTAAAAAAAAATAAAACAAATGAATAATTGTTTAAATATAAAACCACAACAAAGGGCTTTACAAGAAATGCAATAGAACACATAAACGAAAAAGCTGTCTGGCATTTGGTCAAACATGTCACAAATGTAACAGAAAAATCATTGGGTAGCTTTTTTGCATCTCAAAAAACATACACGAAAGTTTTGCTGTTGAACAAACATGTTAAATCTGTATCATCTAGTGGAATGTTAAATCTGTATCATCTAGTGGAATGTTAAATCTGTATCATCTAGTGGAATGTTAAATCTGTATCATCTAGTGGAATGTTAAATCTGTATCATCTAGTGGAATTTTAAAAAAAGGTTTAATAGTCTTTCAAACTAATAATAAATTGGTACCTGGAAAAATCGACATGGGATCTGAAGTTGATGTTATGCTAAAAAGTGTTTTCAACTAACCATTTCAACAACCATAACAACCATGTGATAATCTCACTTATACAGATGTTAAACTAAGTGGTTATGGAATTATTTTCCAGTACTTGGAATACCAAAGATGATGTGCTACAACAAAAGTTATAAAAAAGTTGGTTAAATTTTATATAGTGCAAACAACAAACTCGTTCTTAGCTTACAAACTTCTTAAGACTTGCAAGCTGTCAAACTTCTAAATGAAATAAAAACTGTAGACACAAGCAAATTTAAGTGTCGACAGTAAAAAGAAATATCTACTCTAAACAAAGTAAAACGGGAAGGAAAACAAGGAAAAGTTAAAAGAAGAGTACTTAAAATAACAAACAAAGGAATTAATGATATCAAGTGAAAAAAAATCAAATAATCCATTTAATCCATTTTGAAATAATTATTTTTTATGGAATAATCAGGATTGACGGTTGACGGTTTTTCATCATCTGCTCAATTCATCAATGGAAGAAGATTGAGATCATCACTCTTAACGTCTCTACTTTAAGTAATTCTAATCAACGAAAGTAAAACTAAAAACAATTGTGTAAAATAATTTAAATTTTACAAAAAAAGTATTAAGATAAAAACACCGAATCATTAAAAAACTTAGGGACGGGAAACAATGTTTGTATCCATGATGGAAATTATTGGCAACCAGGATAAGTTGTAAACAATTACGAAGTTTTAATGTAAAAGCCTTAAACAGAAATGTTATTAGAAGAAACAGAAGACATCTACTAAAAACGGAAATAAAGGAAGAAGTAGATTGGAATGTTAATTTATCAAATGATGACAGCAATGCTAATGAATTAAAAGAAGTGTTTATGAGTAAAAGAAAACTGTCAAAAAATCACAAAAAATGATCGAAATATAAATCACAATGAGTCAAAAAACCGTAACATTACTATCACAAGATCAGGAATATGTTCGAGTAAACCAAAATATTATTATCATTACGACATGGAACTCGCTTACGTAACTTTAAAAAAAAGCAAAAAGGTCTAGACTGATGCAACTATTGATCGTCTCCAAAATTATTACGGCATATCTATTCGCCAAATAAAAAATTATTTAAACGCTATGTAATCTGCTGTAAGAGCTACGCTTTATCATGTTGCCTCATCAAAAAATGAAAATTTACATTTTCCTCACTATCCTAAAGGTGCAGATAGTTGGTGTCTGTATGATCGCAACAAAGCAAATCGTACCTCGACACATTGGCCTGGCCCTGGTTTACCTATATCGATTGTTTGGAAACTTAAACCAATTTAAGATGAGTTAAGTAATGACATTCTTTTAAAAAAATGTCTTAATGGCCTTACACAAATCATTTAACATGACAATATGGGAACGTAAATCAAAAGACCATTATGTTTTGCTTACACATCTTCAGTTTGGTGTTTATAATGCAGTTGCCCATTTTAAAATTAGTAAACAAACTAGTGTGTTAATTTTAGAAAAAATGGGTTTGAGACCTGGAATGTACTTGTTAGAAGGATGTAGGCAAATAAAAAAAAAACGATTATATTTAGCCAGATATAAAAGTTTAAACTGAGTAAAAAAACGCAGAAAAATAATTTGAGGAAAAAAGAGAAACAGATATTTGGTCCCACTTTTTAGCCTATTAAAAAATCATTTGAAAAATCTGTTTTACTCATATCTCAAAATCATATGAAATTACTGTTCCACTCATATTATCCAAAAAAGATTTTGTTAAAATTGTGAA